TTTGGCTGTAATGTATCCCATTTCCAACCACATGTCATTTCCTTGAGTATTATTTCTTTCATTGACCCTTTTACTTTGGCTGTAATGTATCCCATTTCCAACCACATGTCATTTCCTTGAGTATTATTTCTTTCATTGACCCTTTTACTTAGTCCGAAAGGTTCCCATTTCAGACCACGTGTCATTCCCTAAAGTATCATTTCTTTGTTTAACGGTTGCACATCAGAAGACACATGAATATGAATACAACTCAAACAAAGAATCTTTGTACTTACTCAAGCATTTATGGTTGTTACAGAACCTTGTGTCCACGAGACTTTCGTGACAAACTCTTCCCCTTTTGCAATCACGGAATCTACTTTGTATTCCGCCTTCGCAGTCTTTACTACATCGTTGCCAAGGTGACCAAGAGGTATAGTTACTCCCTAGGGAAAAATGATATGAGCTCCTTTAACTCGTGGTTTTACAGTGAGGGCACTCGAACTTTGGACCCTTTTTTTTTTTGCGCTTTTTCAAAACGCTTACTGTAAATCATCTTTTGAGCCAATCGATTGAATATTATATTTTGTTTTGATCACTCATTGCCTAATTTAAGCGGGATTGAAACAGTACAAAGTCTATCAGGAAAAAATGGCCGCAAAGAAACTGGAAAAGTTCACGGTTTGAGTGTGCTCACTGTAACAGTGGGTTTGATGTTCATAGTTATTACGATCTTTTTAGTACATTTTGTCGTAGAACCTCTCTCAAATTTTATTTCTAGTAGAATAATGTTATTATTATTGTATAGAACGGTCTGAACCCAGGTGGATGAATGTTTATCGAAATATTATGATAATCCGGGTGGATTTAATCCTGAGAAGGGCYGTTTGATGTGACTGACGTTTCGACAACCTGAGCGGAAGTCATCTTCAGAGTCAAGTGAAGAATAAAGTATCACCACCATCTTTATTATTATTATTAATAATAAACCCAACTAGTCACATGAAAAGCCGTACCTTTCTGATTGTCAGTAATCTTTTCGTCCGTGCGCGTCGCGCAAAGATGATACAAATAAGGACTCCCAGCATGCACTCTGATCCCTGTACACTTCATCCCTTTGATTGGTCCAGAAACTGACCAACCAAATTTCAGTACGCTGTCACGCGGTACACATATATAATTATCTTGCCAGAAACGCGCGTAGGATCTTCTGTCAGGCATGGCCGTGTTCGTGCAGTTCATAGAGGGTAGTGGGCCAGAGTTTGACCATCTAAAGCGGATGTCTCTCTTATCCTTGTTGTAGCAGATGGTCGTGTTTTTCCATAATGGGTCGTTTGGTTCCGTCATGGTAATACAATGTGAAGAACTTTGGCTGCCTCCTTTCGTGAAGTAAAAATCCCTAGGAAAGTTTGGAAAGTCTGAAGAAAAATGGAAAGTGTGAAGGGAAAGATTAAGCCAAGAAAGTAATTGAAACTATTAACGATTTCGAATCAAGTGGACAAAAAAAAAAAAAAAAAAGTGATAGAAAAAATGGAGGTAAGAGAAGGAATTATAGTGATATGTAAAGAAGTGAAAAAAAAAAAAAAAATAAAAAAAAAGGGAAAAAAAAAAAAAAAAAAAAGTGATAGAAAAAATGGAGGTAAGAGAAGGAATTATAGTGATATGTAAAGAAGTGAGAATAAAAATGAAAATAAAAAGTAAGGATTTAGAGGTTAAAACCATGAATCCGGATGGAAATGTGATGGAGAGTAGATAAGAAAGGAAGAAGAGAAATGAAATAAAAGAAATKGAAAATTTGAAGGTTGGGGTTGAAAAAAGTATTAATGACGAGAATTAGAAGCTGTGGTGTTAAGAGAATGGGAATTGAAATGTGAAAGAAACTGAGAAGAAAAGGAAGGAAGGAAGGAAGGATAGAAGAAAGGGAGGGAGAAAGAAAAAAAGAAATGAAGGAAGAAAGAAAAGAAAAAGAGGAGAGGAGGAAGGTTAGGTTTAGACGATAGTGAAAGAGTTTTACTCTAGCTTTCTCACCAATGCAGTTGTAGAGTATGTTTGTCTGTTTGATGTCCATTAAGCTCAACCCAGTGTTACCAAGATACTTGACTGACGGGTCACGTGACTTGAGTGTAGGTTTACCATTGATAGAGAAGAGGTGTGATCCATAATGCATAATAGAGTTATAATCATAAGGCATGCCACGACTATTGACTAATCTTCTTCTTTTCTTATTGAAGGCCCAAGCCCATTCTAAAATCAAAGAGAGAGAGAGAGTTGTGTATTATTGGTTAGAACTCATTAGCAATTCGTCCTCGAACCGGAATGGGCTATTGGCTCGTGCTTTATGGGAGCACACAGCACGCGCGCACTTTTAGTAGCGTCATTCCTATCTAAAATAACGTTTATTGTAATTTGTATTTTATAAAAGAAAAAAAAAACTTGCCTGCTGTGCTGTGTGCCGTTATAAAACACTTAGGGATTGGCAGAACACTCAAGAAGTGTCGAGAAGCTTTCTGCTACGCGTCGTGCTTCTCCTAACACTTCTCTCGTGTTCTACCAACCCCCGCGTGCTTTATAACTGCACACAGCACGCGCGCGCGTTTTCTATTTCTTCGATACTAGAAGTACAGTATACTCATTTGTGTATCAGGTCATCTATATTTGACTGAGGTAGCAAGACCTCTTTAGCTTGGGCGTAATATAACCTTATTGGAGACCACATGTCATTCCCTAGAGTATTATTTCTTTGTTTAAAGGTGGCACATAAGAAGACCCATGAACATGAATACAACTCAAACAAAGAATCTTATTTTCAAGGGAATGACACTTGGTCTGTAATGTGAAAACATTACACCCAAGGTAGAGGTCTAAAAGACACTGCTGTTAGCTTACTTGGATCAATGTTGTTCCAAAGAACCGTGACATACTTGTCACGGTCAGGCCTGTTTTGTTCGTGAAAATATCCTAATGTGTGACCAAGCTCGTGTAACACAACTTTAAAGTTGTCACACCATTTGCCCAAGGATAAGCGTGACTTCGTGCCCTTCCATCGACCAACACTACCACGACAACTAAACAACAAACAAACTATAGTAAATATTTGGAATAATACACTACAATGACGGATGAAAAGATGGAATGAATGGATGGAAAGATGGATGGATGAAAGATGAATAAAAGGGCGAGTTAATGGAGGGAAGTGAAGAGAAGAGAAGAGAAGAGAAGAGAAGAGAAAAGAAAAGGTGTATTTATGTATGGATGCATATGTAGATGAGAGATGAGTACGTGGCAAATCACAGAAGTATGGATGGAATCTTATCAATCAACTCTTAACATTTCCATATGGTCATAGTCCAAACCTACCCTGTTCCATAATGGATATACACATATTCTCGATACGCGGGGTCGTTGGTTCTATTGATAAAACGAATGCACGTATTCCTCTCCCATTCAGCCATTGCTGCTTTTATTATTCTCATGTGGCTTGGTCTTCGCGCTGCAAGATAATCGAGAGAATTTACCGTCTCACGTCAGAGGTTGTTTCATTGTTCGATGTGTGAGTCAGCGATGCTCTAAGTTTGATCAGCCCAGAGGTTGTTTCAGGGTTCGATCTGTGAGTTAGCCGTGCCCTGACTTAGGTCAGCCCAGAGGTTGTATCAGGGTTCGATCTGTGAGTTAGCCGTGCCCTGACTTAGATCAGCCCAGAGGTTGTTTCAGGGTTCAATCTGTGAGTTAGCCGTGCCCTGACTTAGGTCAGCCCAGAGGTTGTATCAGGGTTCGATCTGTGAGTTAGCCGTGCCCTGAGACTTAGATCAGCCCAGAGGTTGTATCAGGGTTCGATCTGTGAGNGCCGTGCCCTGAGACTTAGATCAGCCCAGAGGTTGTATCAGGGTTCGATCTGTGAGTTAGCCGTGCCCTGAGACTTAGATCAGCCCAGAGGTTGTTTCAGGGTATCGAGAAAAGCACGGCCCATTTTAAACAGGTCTGTACTTACTTATGTCTCTGCTCATCTTGTAGTTAATCCTTCCGTTCGGCCACAAATTTCTCTTAGGCCTTATGGCAGCCGAGTACTCCTGGGAACCAGCAGATGATGTCATCGCTGGTAAAATTATGTCGTCAGTGACGTCATCTGTTCCATTGGTCAAGGAATCTAGAACAAGTGTGCCAAGGTTAGTATCTTAAGTATGTATAAGTCAGTCACTTTTGTAACTTACAATGGTAGGTTCGATTTAAAGATTTGAGACAAAAAAGATATAAAATAGGCAATTCCAAAGACTTGAAGGGAAAATTGCGCCGAGTTGACATCGCAATGGATGTGCGAATGTTTGAAAATACAAAATAGTCAATAGAAAATACACAATTATGTCCACTGAGACGATCTCACAATGCACTGCAATTAATGCCTTAATCGCCAAGTTTAGGCCAGTGTGAACGGCCTGTAACAATCTCTTACCCAGGGCACGCGCATTCCTTATGGTCAGCACCGAGGAATGGGACAAAAAACAAAACAAAACAAAACAAAAAACAACAACAAAAAAAAAAATACTCTGGGGCATGGCGCGTGCTCTGAAATGGAAAAACCTGCCCAAGCAAAAAGGGTTCCCCTTCCTTTGGATATAGGTATCAGATCAAGATACGTGACCAAAGAAATTTTGCTGATACGTTGTGTAATAGAATACGTCGGGTCACAGTATTATCACAAAAGTAGTCCTTGAATTGCTATTACATAACAGAGTCACGGAGTCAAACAAAAGTACGAAAAGATTCATAGGATGAARTATTTTTAGTCATCAAAGATGCTAATATGACTTTGATTTTACTCGGCAGAAAATCGCCAAAAGGAACAGCGTTTGGGTCTCAAATACGATCAATAACTAGAATCCGTGTGTAAATATAAGCATTCTTATTTTCATTGCAAAACATATTACATCAGTCACACAGGCAGGAATCTCGAAGCCAGGTCGAAATGAAGTTTCAATTGTAGTGGCTAGAGAAAAACCGATTGAACTTTGAGAAAAACCCTCGAAACATAGAAGAAAAACAAAAAGCAACCGACTAAAATATATAGCGGGTTTGAGGCTTGTCTGTGCAAAACTTTAGGCAGGTCTAGTAGCCTATGTTAGTGGTTCTGTTTTAACATAGGATCGATGACCTAATAACGTCTCTTCTAGCTTTTTAGCCATGGTGTTATGGCTCACTAGGGCTTATCTTTAGTAGTCCATGATATTCCTACCTTGTTTGGTATTGGCCTCAACCACAGCGTCCATTGCCGTAACATTTCTCTTGTTCTGGAGATTATCCAGCGCGGCATCAGTCAAGGATACCAATAAAATTACAACAGCAGCTCTCCACCAGGGTCCGAACATTTTGATTTTCTTCTATCTCCAACGTGATACAATCAAAGTTGAATAGATTCTTCAGTGTGTTATTTATTACCGGCCACGACTCAGCAGTGATGTCTTCAGTAAAGCTATCCAAGTAATAGTGAAGAACAGTTGGCTGTGAATGACTTTAAATACATACTTCATGGCTATTGTAAAAGAGCACGTACTTATTAGGAATGATGAGTTTAAGGAAAGTTGATTTGATCAGCTACGGGGGATATCCGATTATGGGTTTCCTGTGTTGTTTGGCAACCGTTATTATGACGCTACGCCTTGCGCTCTTCAGCACGAATTCCTATAGAAATAATTACTATTGGATATTTTACGTCCTGGACTCATGGGATAGGTTGAGTAGATAAAGGTCACGAACCCTTAGTCCGGTGTGTCGTGCGGTGCGCTTGGACCCCTTAGCATCGTGGGATATGTTTTCGTCACTATTCTCTCGTGGAATAGCTTCGGCGTATGGGATCCTTTATAGGTTATGACAACGACATCGTAAACTGACGCACCATAGGATACGTCTACGCTCCGGCTCTTATCATAGGATGCATTATGACACATAGCTTAATGCATCTTGGGATACATTGCGTCATGACCACGTAGTATCAGGAATCATGGGATACATCATGACACTTCTTACTGCATCATGGGGAATGATGAGTATCAGGCATCAATGGATTTATCATGACGACATTACCTAGTGCATCATGGGAAATGATGAGTATCATGACGACATTACCTAGTGCATCATGGGAAATGATGAGTATCATAACGACATTACTTAGTGCATCATGGGGTATGATGAGTATCAGACATCAATGGATTTATCATGACGACATTATCTAGTGCACCATGGGATATCAAGTCCCCCTTAATACGAGGCATCATATGATTTTCTACATCACGAGTCTTGGAAATAATAGAAAATAGAAAGAACAAGAAGTGAGCCAAAGCAACTGCTTTATTTCGACAATATATTTTGCTAAAATTGAACTATAATAGCCAGCTTTACGGAAGTGTTTCTGGATCAAACGAGATTCACTTTCTGTACTGGCGTTCTTCCAACTTCATCACTTCATCACTGGTTTCCTGTTACATAAGTATGTCTTGTCCCATCCCTTGCGTCCATTCTGTGCGTACCATCGCATGCAAGGTAGACCCTTTATCGGCCCCTTGAGAGACCACTCGAAGCTATAAAAACCAAACAAAAGAGATATTCCGGTTAAAAAGTACTCTTTCAAAAAATTTGAGTTTTTAGTTCAAATGAGTGTATCATTTTTGACCCCCTACCCAACAGAAAGTTTTTGGAAGTGGTTGGGTGGTGATGAGACGTTTTAGTGAAAGATGATAGTAATATTATAATATGTTATAATACTCGTGGTAATGGCGAGAGGGGGAATAGAAGTAACATTACTTACTGATATGGCGAGTTCTTGGGAACACAGAGGTAGTTGTTCATCCAGCTTCCTCTTCGGCGCCTATTCTCAATAGGGTTGTATATCCTGGTACAACGCTTGCCAGGTATTTGTCGCCGATAGTATGACCATTTGATACCAGGGTCATTTTTGGACTGTGAAGTGCAGAGAAAGTAATGCAACCACTGAAAGTGGTTACGAACATCATACGTGCGAAGACAATGGCCTTTAGGGGGAAAAATGGTGTTCGTGTAAGAAAAGTCTTCTGGGAATCTAGGAAAACCTGCAAAAAATTAGAAATAAGTATCGTCAACAAATTCCACACTTTCTAGTTTTCCCAAACCCACGATACGTACTCTTAGATATACTTTTTTTTCGAATTTTCGAATTCGTAAAATACCGCTGTGTTCCTTGACTGCAGATTCCTTTACGCCGGGTTAGCCTCATTTGAATGTCAAAATATATTTGTATTTCGCGCGTGCGCGCGCCTTTCCTTTTATTTTTGAGATATCCATTATTAAGTTAGTAAGAAAGTGGGTCCATCTCTGTACTAACAGAACAAAAGAGAAGTGCTAGCAAAAGCACAAAGCCTAGCAATTTTATCGTTACAATTGTTACCAGTCTCTTTCCGCTGCTCGTTTCGTCTTCGCTGCGTGCAACTATAAAATTGGGTCCAGCTCTGCAGTAGTCCCCTTCACAGTTCCCTGCGTTATCTTAGAGACGTGAATAATTGTCCAAGGTGTTAAAAAAGGTCTCTATCATTGCAAGCTCACCGTTCGTTTCCCTTCGATGCAAAGGCACGGCTACCTTTCGAAATGGCGCAGGGAAATGTGAAGGGGACTTTAAGTGTTCTGGCAATCCCCGCGTGCTTTATACACAGTTTTACACACAGCACGCGCTCGCTCGCGTGTATTGTACTTCTTGAATCTCATACCTCCACATGGGAAAGCATTACACTTTTGCCGTTCCAAGCTTCTTCCAAGGCAGTACCTTCCACCGTTAGCTGGGAAGGGAGATGAACATTTTCTGGTTCGGTACATAAATCCGACGTTACATTCTCTGCTACAGTTACTCCAGGGACCCCATGGAGACCACCCTCCATCTGTCGATTAATATTAGATTAATAATATCAGTAATAATATGTAAATTAATAATATCATAAAAGATCAATTAAATTAAATTGTTATATTAAATTTTAGGATTATGAGATTAATAATAATAATAATAATAATCAATAGTATTTGATTAAAATACCTAGATTATTAGTATCTTATTAAATCCACCATATCAGATTAATAATATAAAATATCAATAACATTGAATTAATAATATCATGTGAAGTTAATATTATCTTATTAGGATTAAGAACATTGCGATATCAATAAATATATTAATAATATTAGATATATAGAGAGGTTATTTTAGTGACGTTATTTACCTATTTTCTCTGTTTCACGATAAGAGACACACAAATAGTGGTAGCCTCGTTCCCAATCACGATCACGTGGTTCGTTGAGATGCCTACAGCGGTTTCTATCTTGAGGGCTCGGCTTTGATTGCAACCATTTAAATTTGTAAGGCGAGTTTGATGGCACGCACAGATAGTTATTGTCCCAAGATGTGGAGTTGGGCTTCCTTTGGTCGGTGATTTTGGTGCAGGACATTCCGTTTATGGGCCCGCTGTGGGACCAYTTGATGTTCAGCGGTTTTGTGCATTTGTTTTTGTAGCACAAGTAGTTGTTGTCCCAGCCGTTAGGGTCACGTGGCTCGTCCATTTTGAGGCAGGTTGTGCCATTGATCATACGCCCGTCATGTGACCAATGAAAGTCACGTGGAAAATCAGGAAAATCTAAGCCGTGATTAAAAATAGTATCAACAACGTAAATATCAATTTCATCTTGATCATCTTGATTAAAGTCTGGGCATGGCTAACTAGATAGATAGATATTTTATTGATATCCTGAAAAAACCTCTGAGCTGATCTAAGTCAGGGCATGGCTAACTCACAGATCGAACACTGAATCAACCTCTGGACTGATCTAAGTCAGGGCACGGCTAACTCACAGATCGAACCCTGAAACAACCTCTGGGCTGATCTAAGTCAGGGTATGGCTAACTCACAGATCGAACCCTGAAACAACCTCTGAGCTGATCTAAGTCAGGGTATGGCTAACTCACAGATCGAACCCTGAAACAACCTCTGAGCTGATCTAAGTCAGGGTATGGCTAACTCACAGATGGAATTGGGATTGAGCGTGTAAGGTTTCACTGAAGGAGAAAAACCTGATAATTAGGTGAAAGAAGAAAAACCCTCGAATCTAGGGAATGAACCAACACTACTTGCATATGATTGGAGTTTTGTTAGTCAAACCAACGACCGCAGCACCATTCATGCTTCTCTAACTAATGATGATATTACTCTGATATTACTAACCTAGGCATTTATACATTCTTCGAACCTTGAGGCTGTCCAAGGCAGATATTCTCTTCATACCAGAATTGAGACGAATCTGTTTGTTCTTGGCCCGCAAGGCTGTTCTACCTCCCTGGGCAAAATCGTTGTCACCAAAGTGCATGATGGAATAATAGTCATAGGGAAACTTCATGGCCACTGGATGCCATCGACGATTGATTTGGAAATGACCACGGTATGCTAGCAAAATAAGGCGTAATTAAGACCTCTTTCAGTTTGACTATGAAATGACAGTAAATGTGCATCAGATTGGGGTAATTTTATGTTTGCGTAAACAAATAAGATTTCATACTTGTTCGTTTTATCAACCATAAATTTTAATAAATGTGATCCGAGCTTTCGGCCATCAGGGAAATGAAAAGCGTTACAATAAGCCTGAAGCGAGATGACGTTTTACCCCCGACTCTATACCATAATAGTTTTTTAAATTCTTTCATATTAAAATTTTTGATTCCTTAGAGAATACAGGAACAATAGTCATAATTAAAGAACAAAAGCAATGTGAAAAAGATTATTGTCTAGAGACGGGGGTAAAACGTCATCTCGCTTCAGGCTTATTGACAAATATTTATTAAATGATTAAACGAACAATTATGAATTTAACAACAACCAACAAGGAACTGTTTGATTTGAATAAGATTTCATTCATATCTACCATAAGACTGAATCATTACTACGTCAGTCAATTCTTCAGTCAAACAGTCAGTCAGCCAGTCAATCAGCCAGTCAATCAGTCAATCAGTCAGACAGTCAAAGTCAGTCAAAGTCAAACAGTCGGTCAGTTGGTCTATCACTTTGTTTCGCCTTTAGATTTTCAGCACCCGTCGGACATTACGTTATCCTCACTCACCAGATATGATGTTATGCCATAAGACCTTAATATACTTGTCACGGTCTGGTCTGTTATGTTCATGACATAGACCAATCAAGTGTCCAATCTCATGAAGCAAGATGGGTCCATAAAAACAACCTCTTCCGAGTTTGATTKTTCGTACGCCGTTGCCTTCATACCCAACATCTGCACTACATCTAACGAGAACAAAAAGAACCTTCAAACTTTATCGATACCCTGAAATATACAGTGTCCGGGCTTATCTAAGTGTCATGGCATGACTAAAGGCGCGATTATACGCAGCAMTTTTCTCTGCAATTTGTCACGCAACGGCGTTGCATGGAGCATTACAGCTTGTAACCTACAGCGCAATTTGAAAAACGATGCCGAGTCTTGTTGCGACGACAAATCGTACAATCAGAGCGTACGATCAAGAACGACTGTTGCAGGCTTGCGATATGATTGCTTGGCTTACTCGTAAGAAGGGACAAACTTCACGTAATCTCGTTCGTTTGTGCGAGGTTTGAACTTTATACAAGTTACTTTTTCCCATTCTCTCATTCCTGCAAGAATTTTGTAACGACGTCCTCTTCCTTAAGACACATGGAAAAACAATACAGGTTAGATGGTACGCTTCATCGAGATGGAATTTTCTAAAAAATGAATGGATGGACGGATGGATGAAATGGGAAAGAATGGAAAGATGGATGGATAAATGAGATAGAATGGAAGGAGGGATGGATAAAATGGGAAACATTGGAAGGATGGATGAAAGGAATGAGATAGAATGGAAGATAAGAATGAAGAAAGGATGGTAGAATAGGGCGATGTACATTTCTGTTTCCATCGCCAACTAGCTCCTCATCATCTTCATTCATCATACCTACCAAACGCCGGCGAAATGAGGTAAGGGATTTTCCCACCAGGCCACAACTGAACGGTTTTTTGATCGCTTGCATCGTTCATCGAGCCTGAAACTAAAGCGAGATAAAGTGAAAACAACTGTCACCTGGAGGGAGGAGTGGGGATACCCTATAGCACTACCTCTAGATGTTTAATCGTGTACTGAATATGATATAATGTCCTAAAATATATCTCCAAAACTAAAAGTCAAATTCAATGATGAATCTACTTTCTGTTTAAAGGTATTATATTAGCGTTCTTAGGTTGAGGAAATATTAAATTTAATTGTATAAAAAAAATTATAAATATGTTCTGTTGACACGGATCTGGATCCACATTTGCACGGCTAGGCGTACGAATTTTTGTCCGGATAGCTCAGTCCCGTGTGAACAGAACCCCTAAAGGTGCAATTTTTTGACGGGTTAGAAGTTCGTTCAGTAACGTGTAAGACGCAGCCTAAGAAGACATGCCACCACGGAAAACTGGAGGAAATTGGTAACTTCAATTTTCATAAACGTGCGAACTCTGTGTCTCCGCTTTGCACGCTGAAATTAAATTTGGTTTTTTGCTGTCGTCAGTCAAAAATGTGAATGGTACCGACTGATTAGGTTTGATTGACGACAGTGAAAAACCAAATTTCAGCGTACAGTTCCTATGCACAGAGTTCGCATGTTTATGAAAATTGCACTAATGATTTTCTCGACCAATAAAATCCATGATGGTTATTTCATTCACATGACTCTCTTCTCACAATTCGGTTACTTATTCTGCAAAGATAGACGGAATCCTTTTCTCGTCGGAAAGGAATTTTATCATATTACAATACTAATTTTTGGTTCTCGTAAATGTTACCTTGCAAGAATAAGAAACTTGCCGTGGCAATGCACACTAAGAATGTGTATAACCCGGAAGAAGACTTAGAAACCATAGTACGTTGAATTGATTCTAGATATAGACTGYCGTAGTTCTTCAAAAAACCTACAGAAGTTAGTAGCGAGAACAGTACTGGTCAGTACTGCCGTTGTTCTTGGTTCTGAGCCAAAGTGACCTGGAATATAATACGATATAAGTACGTGCTTGCTGTTTGTTTCATCTAGATAAAGGGTGAAGGTCAGTCGTGATTCTGCCAGCGACTAATGTACATTCTGCTCTCATATAATGAGTTGTTGATGGACTGAAAACTTTCCAAAATACATTAAATATATAAAAATATAACTATAGAAAAATGTAGGATAATATAGAATAATATAAATGTGACCACGTGACTCAAAATCCCTTGAGACATAAATAACAATGAAACATCCACCATTTTGGTTAATATAAAAAGAGAGGCTGATGGGTAATGCTTTGTTATCGCCAACCCTCTTAAGAGAAAGAACTTTATTAACAGTCCCCCACCTCCTCTTTTAACACGTTTTCGCACAATTTCTAAGACGGATTTTTTTTCTCGTTTTAAAAAAATCGCTAGAAAAAAAGTTTTCAAAATAATCCGGATACGTGTGGACGAGGCTGAAGATGACACTCCAAACCGAGTGAGAACTTCTTATACTTGGCCTTACTTCCTCTAACACCTTCTTTATCCTGACGACAACCATGCATGTGTTATTAAAAACGAATCTCAAATAAGCAAGAAAATGCTTTTCCTCCTTACAGAGGTGAATCGGGGGTTTATTATGAGAGGGGTCACTTCGACATACTACCAAGACAAGTCGTCCCTCCTTTACCATGAACGTTAAAAATTAACAGCCAATGTAAGGGGAGGTCGCAGTTACCCCAGTACTTGAAAATGCTCCTGTTTTGAAATAAGTTTCTAAATCTTAAATAGAACAAGGCGTCTGATTGGTGTTGAATGCTGTTTATTTTATAAACATTTTAAAAATATTTGATAATTGCGTTTGGAGGCAGTGCAGGAAGGACGTCCCGTTGGAGCTCCTACAAAGGAGCCATATTTCTTCAATTAAAACATAATGAATCTAAACTAAACTATCCAAGCCGTAATACTTTATTTTGGAGAAGCTGGAAAGATGATAAATAACCAAGATGACCTTATTTCTGCGAATGACAGCCAAACTGAGCGTAAGCGAGGAAGACCTAGAAAACCTGTCAATGAGAAGTCAACGATCACGCAAGTGGAACCGAGAAAACGAGGTCGACCTAAAGGATCCAGAAATAAAAACCCAAAGGAAAAGCAAGCTGCATCAAATAGACTAAATTCTTCAGCAGTTGATATCTCAATTTTACAAGAAAATTCTATAGAATACGAGAACGAAATTAAATATGTATCTAGTCAACCGAATCCATCAACGAATTTGAATATTACAAACATTAATCTTCTCCCAAGAGATAACGCTGAATGGATCGATAAGAATACATGTACATCTATTTCAATTAGTGATTGTTCTTCTGAAAGCGTGAGTAAGCCTGGTAATCTTCCATTATATACAAACATTAACAAACAAACTACAATCTGCTGGGGTAAAAATTTAGAAGGCGTGGAAATTAATATTCCTACCATGGCCATACTAGAAGCTTACAACGAAATAACAACTTGGAGGAGAAATGTCTTTTTAGTTCCTTATGGGAKAACTGGTAGAGATTTTATCGATCAAATAACTTTACACATAGATGATTGGAATGCGTGCTCTGACAAACGGCATATTGCCTTAAAAGCTGCCTTTGTTCTGTTGGCTGTGGGTCTCCAAAAGCCAAATAAAAAGTCTAAAGCTAAAGAAAACCA